CATACACACACATCACACAAAAATACCCCACACAACACGCAACCCCCACCCACACTCCTAGAACTTGCACCCAATTTTTCAATTTGGCTCAATTAATAACCCGCATGTATTTCCCCAATAAATTATTTGACAATTGAAATTTACATCAACTCATTCATTCCCCCTAATTATTTTGCATGCAAATTTCTGTCTCTTTCATGCATTTTGAGATTTGGGATTAACTCTATTTTTTGGGAACAATTAATATTGAGTAATTTCAATATAATTGATTTAGAAATAGTTTATGCCGATTGAAGTTGATTGGGACTGAAAAATTTTATGGATTGTTAAATTTGAGAAAATGGTTATACTAAATAATTTTATGGTTGACCTATCACTTTTTCAAGTATTCATATGGTGCAGATGATGTAGTTAGTTATTCGAAGGGGTAAGTTGTTTATTTTTTAACCACATCTATTTTACTTAGTCTTTTATATAAACATCACAGGATAATTTGTGGGGTTGATTTATAAACACATATCGATTGGATTATTGCAATTAAATTTGAGGAATGTCGGGGTTCACAAATTTATTTGTTTAATTAGAATTTTATAGTTTATTTGTTTAATTAACATTTTATACAGAGTGGATTGTGTAATTAGTGTTTTATGGATTGGCTATTCAGATTAATATTTTCTTGGGTTCTATTTTTAGGGAAAACTTTGTCCAAATTTTTTAAAACAACAAAGAAAAATTATTTTAATTAAATATTGAAGATAAAACTTTAAAAAAAAAAATAGTTCCTTCAGGGAAAAAAAATCCTAAAGCGTGGCGGATGTAACTAGTGTTTTTAAATAACATAAATTCAACATTATAATATGTTCTACACAAACATAGTTAAATAAAAATTATTTAAAAAAAAAAAGAAGATTAAACAAAACATTTTAGGTGCACCTCGATTTCTTGAATTGATTAAAGCAGCACAAAAAGGAGTTGCAGAGCAACAAATTTCAGCCGGAAGAGGCAACAATGTGGAGAGAAAAACTATATTCGCAGCAGTTAAGCTTACGTGGAAGTCTTGGCCAATATCCACCAAATAAACAAGAGTCTTGGGTCAACATCCACCAATTAAAAAGTCTCGGTCCATATCTACCAAACAAACAAGTGTTCTTGGTCAATGGACTCAATACTATATAATGGGTGGGTCTGATATACCAACCCACGACAAAAATAAATGTCAACTTAAACAACCGAGTAATTTTATTTAAAACTAAATTCTTGACTTAATTTATTAACTTAATTATTTAAAATTAAGGTTAATAATCAAACTGAATTTTGCGAGTACAAGTCAAATTTGTTGAGCTCGCTTGTAAACGAGTTTAAAAAAATATTTAAAATGAGTCGAACTCGAGTAGCTCGACCCAATTATCAATCTCATTCATAATTATTAGATTGACGAAAAAATTCGATTATTCTTTAAAATACTTTAACAATCTAACGATTGTACTAAATAGTATTATTGTAAAAAAATGATTGAAGAGAACATTGCCCTTACAAGTATGTCGACGTTGCACCCATAATACAACTCTTATTCATATACAATGACACACATTCAGACACTCACACTCTTTTATATATATTAGTTGGCACACATATACATATGTTAGATATATATATTAGTTAACACACACGTACATATGTTAAATATTCAAAAAAAAATTATGTTATTTTAAATGTCGAAGATTAAACCAAAGTCAACAAAAATATTTTAAAAATTTGGAGGTCGGTCCCTCTATATGAACTTGTTTGGACTTAAGTCCGTTAAAGAAACTTATTTGTTATAAAATCCGTTTTTTTATCAATTTTACCATACTATTCCTTTCTTTTAAAAGTCAAATAAAACTATAAATTAAAAACTCATAAATCTTAAGAATTTAACTAACATTAAAATCTTTTCTCCCTCATATTTATCTATATCCATATATAGGTTAAGTGTTTGATTAACATTAAAAAAATTTCTCTCTTATCTATCTATATATAGGTTATATATATAGAGTAACATTAAAAATAAAAAATAGTAACATTTAAATACAAAAAAAAATATCATTTGGACACAAAAATTAATACATTTAAACACAAAAAATAGTAACATTTAAACATAAAAAAAAAAAAAAAGTGAAACATTCAATATTAATATTTTTAAAAAATAACAATAGTAACATGTTCAACAAATATATTTACATGCTTAACAAAAACTGTAACATACTTAACAATATTTTTTCTCTCAAATTTAAACGCAAAAAATAGTATCATTCAAACACAAAAAATAGTAATATTCAAAAAAAAAATAGTAACATTTAATATTAATAGTTAGGAAAATAATAGTAGAAACATGTTCAACAAAAACAGTAACATGCTCAAAAATAATAGTACATGGAGTGTAACATACTCAATAAAAGCAGTAACATAATAAAAAAAAATAGTAACATGAATTTAGATTTTACTATTCAAATTCATAGTAACTTTTTTTTTGTATTTGAATGTTATTATTTTTTATTTTTTATTTTTAATGTTACTATATATATGTATAATTTTTTTTTTGTATTTGAATGTTACTATAGGTATAGATAGATAAGAGAGAGGAAAAATTTTAATGGTAGTCAAACTTTTAACCTATATATGGATATAGATAAATATGAAAGAGAAAAGATTAATTTCCTTTCAAGAAAAAATATTTTTGAGATAAAAAAATGAACTTAAGTCATTACATATTATTTTAAACATGAATTTAGTCTATTATAAGTTTCTTTGCAAAACTTATCTCCAAACAACTATATCTAAGGGGACTCACTTCCAATTTTCACAAAATATTTAGAGATGCAAAAAATATTGTTTTGGCCCGCCTTATTTTGTAACTACTAACTTTTTGAGAAAAAAAATTTAGTGATAGTTTAAGTAGTAACAAAAACGAACTGTGAATTCAGACGTTTTAAATTTGAATTTTGACAATCTCTTAGGCTCAGCTTATGAGGGATTTTATCTCTCATGAATATCGTAATCTCGACGTAGATAGTCTGCCTTTAACGAGATTGAGGAGGGGATTAGTTGAAGTGCGCGTAAGTTAATCCAAACACCCCTTATCATTAAACCAAAAATAAAAATAAAAATAAACCTTTCTAGGAAAATGAAGTTGTAGCTACAAAAATTTAAATTTAAAGTATGCAAGAAATTTCTTCCACTCCATTTGTGCATTTATTTTTGAATACATTTTAAGTTCCAGGTATCCTTTTCACCTAGAGTTTTAAAGATTCCACGGGTAGGATTGACACATTTAGTGGCCATGAATGAAGAGAGTCCTAGTACTTTAAAGCAACACAATTCTTTCTTATTCTTTTACAAACAATTTTACTCTATAATGTAAACTTGGATATATTATAAAATCAATTTGAATAGCTAAAAGTTATGTGTGCATATTTTTTGTTAAATTGAATAGTTGTACGTGACCCAAATCTTATAAATTCTTTACAACTATCTACAAAAATTACCTATTTTATACTGTTATTCCCTTCTCGTGTTCTTTCATTTTCAAACCATGAACAATCTTACACATCAAAAAATTACAACCAATAACAAAATCAGGAATTTTTTGGGTGAAAAGTTTCACAAAAATAATGTAGGATCAGTCAACATCTTTTGAACCAAAAATTGTATACACAAATACCAAATTAAATAAATAAAATGGAAATTTTTTATTGTTGATGGTATTGGCACTTTCTTGGTCATATTTATTTGTGATTTGGTTTTACAGAATAAAAGTCTTGGTCTTATGGTAAGAATTTTTTTTTTTTTTTCTGAATATTAACGTTACTATACCTTGTTTTTTCGAAAATATACATTTAATAAAAGAACATTTTAAAGGCTTGGGTATGGGGAAGCTTCTGGTCCATTTAGTAGGGTAAATGAAAAAATAGAATGATAGAAAGTGAGAGTGACAAATTTTGTATTCTTTAAGGAATAAATCCTTCCTATTCTCTTTTGTGTTTGGTAAGATGGATGAAAAATAGTAAGAATTGAATTTTATTTTATTTTTTGTTTGGTAAGATAGATGAAAAATAAGAATGATTGAATTTTTTTTTTGTATTTGGTGACCTTTTATTATATAATAAATAAATATCAAATATTATTAATGTAGAAGCAATGCATGGTTGACACATCACCATTTTTATCCTGAGGCTTGGGAGTGTTGTTGGCATGCATGGATGCGAGAGGCCCTTGAGGAAGGTTTTTCGAAGTGGCATGATAAGCACCATAAAGTAAGACAATCATCTTGCTTCCTCCTCTCCTGACCAGCATTTGATTAGTTGCTAGATGCTTTACCAAAGATGGTGCCTGCAGATTTTGGCGCCTTTCTAATTCTTTTTTTTCTAGGAAGTAGGAGGTAAACAAAAAAAAGTTGTGATGTTTTAGATGATCAATTATGTTTCAATCAGAATCTTGGGTTCGTTTGTTTCTTTCTTTTTTTCCCTCTTCTGGAAAACAGAGAATTAATAGAAGAAAAAGGAAAGGAAATTCACGAAGAGTTGCCATTATGTTACCGACTAAGGTTATTAGGGTGGAGGACATTTCAAAAGGCATTGGCAATAGATTCTTCTTTTCAGCTTCGAGGAGTTTCTCTAGCTAGCAGATGTGCTTTTTGCAAAAAAGATTGTGAGACTGCAGGTCATATATTTATTAACTGTGTTTATGTCAGTTCAGTTTGGGGTGCTATTTCAGCTAAACTGGGGCTCCACTTAATTGCAAATGAGGATCCATTTACTAGATTTATGAGATTTGTAAGAGAATACAAACATTTGTCTGTGAGCCATGCTTTGATAAGGGGAGTAGCTCTATTGATATACTGGCAATTATGGAAAGAAAGATGCAACAGGCTTTTTGACGATCAATGTCTTCATTATTCTACTCTGGTCAAAAATGTCCTCCATTTTTTAAGGTTGCAGGTGCATACGGTTAAGCCAAAATCAATGGATTCAGCCATGGAGATCGAGTTACTACAATTACTACAGGTTCCTAATCCTGGTACAGTGAGGATGCACACGTGGTGGATAGCCTGGAAATACCCAGCCAATGGTTTGATTAAGCTTAATGTGGAAGGCGCTTCAGAAGGTAATCCAGGGGAATCAGGAGGAGGGGCAATTCTTCGTAATTCAACGGGCCAATTAATTCTTGCAGGTTCCTTTTATTATGGTTATTGCACAAATATGGAGGCAGAGATGAAAGCTCTGTTGAGTGGTCTGAAACTATTGCAAGAGTATGGACTTCAAGTTTATGATCTGATAATTGAGTCAGACTCAAAATTGTCAGTTGACATGGTCAATAAGAGGATTAAAACGTCTTGGAAGTTCTGGATTCTTTTAGATGAAATTTCGGGTATCCTTCAGAATTTTTCATTTCAAATTCAGCATAGCTATCGTGAAGGTAATATGGTTGCAGATGCATTGGCTGATAAAGGGGTATCAGATAAAAGATCTTTTACTTATATTTCTACAAGCAGTCTCCCTTCACAAATTAAGCTACTCATGATGCAGGATTCCAGGCAAATAAGAAGTTTAAGAAAAAGAATCTTATATGGATGACTGATTGGCTTTGGTCTCTGCTCTTCGTAATGCATTCTGGATTTCTTGATGGTCGATCTGATAGTAAGAACTGGCTGAATTTCTATATTTCTTCTGTCGTGGTTTCTTCAAATCTGTTGGAGATTCTGTTTTTCCCACAGAAGGCCTTTCGTTGTCTGGACGAAGGAGGAGGATCTGTGTCTTCTCTGTTGATTCTGGCCTTCATCTTTGTATGGTTTCTCATCAGAGCTTCTATGGATGGGTTTTGCAAGAAAGCTGGATATTCATCTTCTTCACATGTCTCCAGATTACTTGGTTTTCTGGCTTGGTTTTCAAACGCTGGATATTCATCTTCTGTAGACTTCCTCTTGGATACAAGGAAAATCATAAATTTGAGAAAGAGAATCTTAACTAGATAAATTCCAGTAGGTTCAGCATCACTGACGGGTCTAGAGTCTTGCTGTGGATGTTCTTCATGACACTGAATCTGGGTTGCTGTTGCCGGTATGTCTGCATAATTTTGGCGTCTGGTCTTGCTGGATAGTCATCTTCTACACCATTCGCAAGAGGAGTTCTGGACTCTCTTAGCAGCAATTTTGCATTTTTCAGAGACCTTCTATGTTCTTTGTCCGAGGCTATCCATCTGCCTAACAAAGGGAATATTCATCTGTGCAGAGGTTGTTTATGACTCTGTTAATCTGACTTATCAAAGAAGCTTTTCATACTCCTGGCTTAGATGATAGCTTATTGAAGTGGACTATTAGGGTACCTTATCTGATAGGTTGTTTGGCCTTTCGAATGGTCAAGCTACTTACCACACTTTATCAGCTGCGTGATGTTTTCTCAGTTAGCCGTTTCAGCTCAGCCCTCCTCTCAGCTCAATCCCTTGGCTCAAGCTCTCAGCTCAATCCCTTGGCTCAAGCTCTCGGCTTATACATGCCTTCAATTCAGCACTTCTTAATGCCTAAGCTCATCTTATCTCAGCTCCTCCCAGCTCACTACAGCGACTGATCAGCTGGTTCATTGTGTAGCTGGAATTTTGCTGCTGTTGGGACTGTTCACGTGACTGTCCAGCACACTAGTTCCAGCTCATAAGTTGGTTTCAGCAGTTGGTTTTAGCTAAAATATCTTTCAGCTGGATTCAAACAAGCTGCATTGGATATAAGCATTTTAGGAAATTATTCTTACGTAAAATCATGCATTAGAATTTTTAATTCCTTATTGCATTGTAATTAGATTGCATCGAGGGTAAGGTACATACGTCCCCCTAATTAGGTGTAATTTAATTTTTAATCTTCTACCTTTTGCCTAAAAAAAAAATAATAATTCTCCGAACTTCAATTTAATCTCAAATTCCAGTAAATCTAAGAGACAAACCCTCAATCACTTGATTAGAAGTCAAATTTCCTTAGGTTTAAAAACATATTTTTGTGTTATAAAATAAATTGATCGAGCTTGAGCATTTACCAATATTAAACGATCTTTAAAATGTGATTATATTTAGTCCATTTTCGAGCACAAATAACCTTACACAACCCCTTCACCACCCCCCCCCCCCCCCAAAAAAAAAAAAACAAAAAAACAAGCCTTAAATAAGTCAAAACTTGGTTTGTCATTTTGTTGGATGAGGTGGTTTCCCGTTCAGTCGTAGCGGATTATATTTCTTTCGATTGACCTCACGCATACTCGATTCTTTTATTTGTCACGTCGAATTGAGTCCACTCGTTTACTAAATGGGTGATTTAGAGAATATTCAAACTCTCTAATTTCATATCGTACTTATATTGTATTGATGAATCTTATCATATTTTCACATTTTTATTCAAAAAAAAAACCTAAGTCCATGCCAAACATGGGCAGCTCACTGTCCCTGCCTGACCCAAGAGATAGAGCCATGGCCCATGACAATATGGTTGAGGAAGACACTTCCTTTTAACTATCTGATGATCATAACAAGCCAAAGCCTCGAAACTGAACCATATAAAGTAATATAAAAAAAGACAAAATCTAATGAATGTCAAAAGCTTCACCCTCTTACATTGCATATCAAGTTGGCAACTGTACAAATTGACGAGTACCTAAAGTTAAACAAATGGACACATTGTTAAATACACGAATTCCAGCTCTTCACCACTTTAGTTCAGGGCATAGCTTACAGTACGCCGACAATTTTAGACAACCATGATGCAAAATTAGTATGGAATTAGCGAATTTGAAGTTAGCTGTAGTTGAGTTTGGATAATAAATGGGTTAACTTATTAGATTCGTTATCATTTTTATTGGTGTTTTCATTAATGTTGCGGGTATTTTTATCATTACTGTAGGTATTTTTATCACTATTATGATAATTATTTTTATCATTTTTCTTGGTACAATTTTTTTTACCATTTTGTAAGTAATTTACCACTTTTGTGGGTATTTTTATCATTGTCGTAATAATTATTTTTATAACTTTTTTTGATACTATAATAATGATAAAAATACTCATAATAATAGTAAAACTACTCACAAATGTAATAAATATCGATAAAATACGAAAGTTGTATTTTGCGGTACCATGGACAACTCCATATCATAAATATCTACCAGTATCTTTATATGAGGAGTCATCTCCTGTCTTGAATGACACCAATTACAATCATAAAATTAGGTTTGGTTTGGTTTCCTACACCTTCCATGGACTATCAATTTTTATAGATTAATTTTATTTAGACTTACAAATTTGATTTAATTTATTAATGAAACAGTTTCATAGAACCAACACACAATTAATTTAAAGACTATAGTTAATTAAATCCAAAAAACATTGCTCATTCGTTTATAATTATTTCTCCATCGCCACCTAGATTTGGTGTTTGGTTTTCAAGGTAAGGTATGTGTGGGCTACAGCTATTTCTTTTGTGGGAACCCTTATGATTCATTTTTACTTGTTTCTACAGCAACAAATATGTTATAGACATTGGGCATGCAAACTTCTTAGCTTCTAAGCTTAGTGACAAATTCAAGTGAGGGGAATTGAAGTTAAGAAGGAATGCAGGACAACAACATCACAAGCTACTAGCTAGGCAAAGTTCACTAAACTTTATTTGTATCATATATTAAGGATATATAGTAAAAACAAATTGTTTTTTTCTGTCAAAGCTATGTATTAGTGATTTGTTTATATTAAAACTTGGAGGGTTTTATTCATAATATTTAGAAGTTTTGGAAGTTCTATGGTTCACTTAAATATGCAGGATAGATTTGGAATTGATTTGCTTGATGAAACTATGGGGATAAATGTTGCTGTTTTTTATATGCATCAATAGATTACCATTACAATAAACAATTAATTATTTTTTAGAGAAATATTACAACAGAGAAGTGAAAAGAAGCCCAAAAGGAGATAGAAAGAAGGGATACAAGAAATCAGTCTTTGTCTTTGGCAAATATTAATTTGTTGACCTTTCGGTTGAAAAAATCTTAAAAAAAAAAAAAAAAAAAACCAAGAGTGACCAACTAGGCTACAGTCAATTGATTATTTTGGGAACAATTCAAAATTTTGAGAAGATGTGGGAGGGTTTTGATGTCTCATTTTTGTATCCTATTCTATGTTTCTTGAATGAAACACACTGTAGCCATTGAAAGGCAAGGAGAGGTGTGAACATTGCAGGCCACCACTGCTTGAATGCAAGCAAAACAAAAGCAAAAGGACCATTGTGCAGTGACTGAAGTTGTCAGTATAAAGAGGATTGAATTAGGTCCTGGACTTACCTTGACAAAGGAGGGTGAACTACATGAAAGCTATGCACTTGCCTTTTGCTCCATTCTTTGGTGTAATTTCATCTTCTTAGGCTTTGAAACTTGAACACCCTAGAATTAGATTATAGAAAATTTAAATCTCTATTTACATTCACCCCAAAAAAAATAATAATAATAATAATGCTCTATTTCACCATATCCATTAATTTATAAGAAAAAAATCGCCGAGTTTACAATTATATTTTTTCCCAAAATAAACATGTAGAGCTGTTTATACTTAGTTTTAATAAAAATGACAAATTAATGACTATTTTCTGCAAATGAAGGTACAATAGACTGCAGTAGAGGCCAATTTTCTGATTCATGTAGGGTTAGAGACAGACTAGTGTGAGATGCATGCATGTTATAAGTTAGCCTCTGCCACAAGTACCTGAATGATTGAACTTTCATTCTCCTCGGAGAGGAAATTACCATCTTTAAGAAGATTTGCAGTCTAGGAAAGCATAAAAAATTCAAAATTTGATGAGTTCAAAAAAAAATGACCCAGAACAAGGCTAAAGCTGCTACACATTTTAAGTACCAAATATGTTGCAAAAGGTGGATGACTCATATTTGCTAAGTCCAATTGCCGTTGGCAGAGAGCATAGCAATGTGTAATAAAGTAGGTTAGGTGTAAGCACAACATAATAATTGACAAGGATTAGGGTATACTACGTACTTATACTGGAATTATGTTAGGTGATTAACGAGAAACAATGTTTTTCAACTGGTGCATATAAATAAGTAATTGTAACCTTGTCTAGATTCACATATAATGAAACGACCATTCCCTTGGACATAGATAAAATTTCTAGCAAACCATCAAGTAAATCTTTGTGTTTATTCACTATACAACATGTTCACAATAAAACATTAAGTGCTCAATTACTAGGTAAGGAATATTTAGTTTTTATCTAAAATTATTCAAATACGGTGCATTTTGCATGGTGAAAGTTGCCACAACTGATTTCATTCCATTAGATGGAAAAATTGAGACAAAATCATTTTTGATGGATGCCCCAAACACCCCCTTGCTGATATGATGAATATCTACATTAATTCTCCTTCAGTTTTTCTAACTTATTTTCCATAGATGATTTAAGGGCATGTTTGGCTCAGTGTTCCCTTAGACTAAATTATACCTTTCCTACTAGAGGACCCTTCTGTTTGTACTTATGTGAGGAACATTGTGTTGGGTCTCCCACAGCCGTTTTGCACTTTTAGCCCTCTACTGTCCAATTTCAGACTAAAATAATTGGTAGGTCATCTTTAAAATCCAGATAAAGAGTGTGCAAAGTCAAATGTTTCCAAACACACCCTAGACCTTGACTGGCAAAAAGCCCAGCAAATGCTTACTAGCAACCCTAGCTCACAGAGTTTACATCTAGAACAAATACAATATCGAGGTAGGAACAGAGATAAGTAACTACATAGTAAATGGCCATCAACACTTACCCACATAAGCAAAGTGAGCACAGTCTAAAAAACTAGGTAGCTCTGAATATCAAATCTAACATGATCTGATACGAGTACTTCGAATTAAACGGAAGATTTGTGCTTCATATAGCTAGTAAAGTTTGGTGATGCACAAAAATAGTTTTGAACACCACCTGTCAAGTGTAAATAATAAATGTAATAAAAGTAAATAGAGAATTGGGGGAGACAAGATTTATAGTAGTTCGGTCAACTCCACCTACGTCCACTCTTGAATGACTTTCGTTGTCGAGTATTTTATTAATTTAAGGGTATGAAGATAGAGAATACAAGCTTCAAGGGAGAATAGAGAATCAAGGAAGATGTGGTGCCAGGCAATCAGTGTCCTTCCAAGTGTTGATAGAGTGTGCAATTTATAGTGGCCCTCTAACAGATTGGGGCTACTTTCCAGCGACTAAGCAACCATTTCAGTAGAGCTTCCGATCTCTTCTCAACGAGCGAGGTGGTTGAGGAGCTCTCCATGAGATGCGGTCAAAGATATGGTAAGGGTGGACCGTTTCCTTCGGTGGTGCAGGTAAGGCTTCTCATGCTCTCCCCCTTGATGACGTGGCTAAGCAAAGAGTCTTACTTGGTCCTGGGTTATGTTGGGCTTGGTGAATTTTTAAATGAGGTTGGATTTCTCAATTGGGATTTGGACTTTGCACATAGATTGAGTCATTTTGGGCTTGACTCAGCATTTGTCCCTCAATACCCCGTGTTTAAGGAAAACTTGGAGAATGAGACATTAACTCTTCGTTTGTATATCTTTGGCTTTGGTGCAAACTCCAAGCCTTTCCCACTTTATTTTGAAGAGGGCCCATATTTTCAATTTGGGCTTTTTTCCTCTTTTTAAAAAACCCTAGACTATAAATATAGTCTTCTTTCTTCATTCTACCCATTTCACTCACTTTGAAGGTTGAGCACCCACTTCTTGAAAACCTTGAGAACTCATTCTTGTGAACCTTGAGAGCTCATTCTTGTGAGCAAAATTTTTTCCATTCCATTGAGACTTGAGAGAAGGGAGGCAACGCTTGAAATCTCTCAAGATCATTTTGTTGGTATTCTTGGGTGGAGTTTTTTTTTAAGTGGATATTTGGAGCTTTGAAGGAGGTGGAATAGAGAAGCTATATTGGTGTCATGAGGAGTGGCGAAATTAGGGTTGAGGAGAGTGATCTTGGAGCATTTGAAGTTGCAATGATCGAAGGAGGAGGAGGAGGGGAAAAATCCTTGCTAGCCGCTGCTGCCTTTTGCGCACACCAGCAGCCCGTGCAAGCCCCTGTAGGCGCTAGTTCAAGTGCTACACATGTGAGTTTTGATGTTTTTGGCATGGCTCCCAACCTGGGTAGGCACGAAAAGAAAAGAGATGGACTTCCTCGGCAAGCTAGGCAGCGAAAAAGGGGTTGTTCTAGGCAGTTCTGGAGCGCTGGGCAGCTGCCTGGGTACTGATTTTGCTGTCCTGGACAGCCCAGGCGCGCTGGGCAGCTGCCTGGGCGTCAGTTTTGCTATCCTGGACAGCTCAAGTGCGCTGGACAGTAGTTTGGACACTGTTTCTGCTGTCCTGGATAGCTCAAACGCGCTGGACAGCACAGATTCTGCTGTTCTAGGCAGCGTTCGAGTGTTGGGCAGCAACATTTCTTCAGCAAAAAGTGCTAGAAATCAGTCCAAGGTGCAGCAAGGAAAGCTGGGCAGCAGCCTGGGTGCAGGGGCAAATCTGAGCACCATTCCTGGCGTTGATTCGGGCACCGTAGGTGCTGATTTTGGTGCCAAAAATGCTGTTTTGTGTGCCAAAAATACTATTTTGTGTAATTTTGAAGGGTCAGACACCTCTCCAACTACTGGGCAGCTCCGTTTTGGCGAACAAAGGCAGTCAGGCACCCCTCCAAGTGTTGGGCTAGACATTGCAAGCGGTAAGGAAGCTTTGGGTGCTGCTTTTGATGATCAAGACCCGACTGTGACTCCTCTGATTCAAGTTCCTCAAGACTTCCCAAATTGTGGTTTAGACTACTCCTTACGGCCTCGGAAGAAGAAACGCAAAGGCAAAGTGGGACTCGATGATGATGGGTCTAAGGTGAGTACCCTTTCTAGTCTGTTCCGTTTAGATGAAGATATCTCGAGACTTGTTTTTATTTATCGCATTCCTCCGACCGTGTTGTGCCGTCAGGCTGAGTTGGGCGAGCTTGCTTGCGATGACAAAAATAATATTATTCCAAACATTAAAATATCTCACATAATTACATGGAAAGAGAGAGAGAGGTAGGCTACTTGCGCGAGAGCAAAGACAGAATTGGAGAACTGCTCATGAGAGATCTACACCTTTTGAGACCTAGCTTTTGACGACCCATGAGAGAGTCTTTAAGCTTGAGGTATAAGCTGCCTGTTTGAGAACAGTGCAGAGGCCAAACTTTTTTGGCGACTCCCAAGAGAGTCGCTAAGCTGGAGATAGATTGCCTGTTTGAGAATAGTGCAGAGTCCAAGTTTTTTGGCGACCCGTGAGAGAGTCGCTAAGCTGGAGATAGGCTGCCTGTTTGAGAACAGTGCAAAGGCCAAACTTTTTTGGCGACCCGTGAGAGAGACGCTAAGCTGGAGATAAGTTGTCTGTTTGAAAATGGTGCAGAGGCAAGTCAAGCTTCTAGTGATCTGCGAGATGATTCACCTTGCCTAAACCTGTTGATTTCCTCAGCATTCATATATCTTTGAGCTTTTGCCAATAGTTCTGGCATGCTCTTTGGTGGTTGCTTCATAACTGAGAAAAGGAAGCTTGATGAATGGAGGTCACCCAAGAAGGCGGTCATTGTTACCTTGTCGTCGGGTTCATCAACTTGGAGTACCTCCTCGTCAAAACGAGTGAGGTAACTCCTCAGGCTTTCTTCACGGGCCTGCTTTATACTAAGCAGGTGCGTAACAGGCTTCTGATGGCGACGCCCTCCAATGAAATGTGAGACGAACGATTTGCTAAGTTCAGCGAATGAGGCAATGGAGGCGGGGGAGAGCTTAGCAAACCATTGTCGGGCAGACCCCTTTAACGTGGTTGGGAATGCCCTGCACATAATTTCGTCTTGTGCGTTGTGCAGTTGCATCAAAGTCTTGTAAGTGTCGAGGTGGTCCAGTGGATCCTTAGTTCCATCAAAGGTCTCCACAGATGGTATTTTGAACTTCTGAAGGAGGGGGTAGTTTGATTCATCAGACTTGAAAGGCGTATCCGTACGGCTTATCAGGTGGTCTACAGTTTCGGGTCCCTGTGCCTTCATGGCGTTGAAGACATCACCCAGTTGATTTTGTACTTCCTTGATTTTCTCATTCCAATGATTGGGGGCTCATCTGGAATAATCATGGAAATGACTTACGTGCTCGATACTTTGGTTTTCGCCCTTATCCTCTTGGAGATAAGGGTCCTCTCCATGGGAAACAAGAGGAGGGAGAGGTGGAACTCCCTCATGTTGGGCTCCCCCAAGTGGGCGCTTAGGTATAGAGCAACAGGGCGTGGTGCTTCTTGGTGTCCAGGGCGTGGAGCTACTTGAGGTCCTCCATATTGTGCACCTCTGAATTGCGCTCCTCCTTGAGGTCCTCCAAGTTGTGCACCTCTGAGTTGTGCTCCTCCTTGTCCAGCAAGCATGAGTTGCAGTAACTGTTGATTTTGGGCCACCAACTGCTGCATGGTCTCCAACATTTGCTGGGGATTCGGAGCTGAAGCATTCGGGACAGAGTTGGTAGGCGGAGGAGTAACCTCCTCTTCTCGTGGAGGATTGTCTTCAGGTTGGTTCATGAATCAGGTTGTAATCGCCATTAGTTCAGTGGATGTAATGTTCAGGAGTGAGAATTTTGTCATTTTTTATAGACGGCGTCAAACTGATGATGCACAAAAATGGTTTTGAACACCACCTGTCAAGTGTAAATAATAAATGCAGTAAAAATAAAAAGAGAATTGGAGGAGACAAGATTTATAGTGGTTCGGTCAACTCCACCTACGTCCACTCTTAAATGACTTTTGTTGTCGAGTACTTTATTAATTTAAGGGTATGAAGATAGAGAATACAAGCTTCGAGAGAGAATAGAGAATCAAGGAAGATGTGGTGCAGGCAATCAGTGTCCTCCCAAGTGTTGATGGAGCGTGCAATTTATAGTGGCCCTCTAACAAATTGGAGCTACTTTCCAGCGACTAAACAATCATTTCAGTGGAGCTCCCGATCTCTTCTCAACGAGCGAGGTGGTTGAGGAGCTCTCCATGAGATGCAGTCAAAGATATGGTAAGGGTGGACCGTTTTCTTCGGTGGTGCAGATAAGGTTTCTCATGCTCTCTCCCTTGATAACGTGACTAAGTAAAGAGTTTAACTTAGTCTTGGGTTATGTTGGGCTTGATAAATCTTTAAATGATGAGATTTGAACTTTTCACATAGATTGGACCATTTTGGCCTTGACCATCAAAGCTTACCCAATTTACATTGCATCTAGGCTTTTGACCACATCAACATGAGAAGATTCACACCACATGTTAGAGGGAAATATTCCAGGAAATTCTCTATAATCTGAGGCATAAACGCATCATCATCATCATCATACGGCTCACATGAAAGGTCAAATTTCTTAGCCAATTCACCACAAGGGTTCATTGTAGGAACTTCATGTACTGCTTCATCTCCAGGGCCCTCGGGGACTTCTTGGTGGTGGTGGTGGTCATCGGAACCACCACCACCACCACCAATCTCCGGGAACCTAGCATGGTCCGGCTTGTCGGCGTCTTGGCCTGTGAGTTCTTGAACCAAAGCTCTGAATTCTGAGGCACTGGTCTTCACCTCATGGCATTGGAGATGTACACAACCTTGACTGGTTTTTTCTTGGTTTTGGCCTGTTTGGTTGTCCTTTTTTGTTGTACACTAAGTAGTTTATCCATATCTCTTCAGATGGAAATGAAGCTTAAGAGCAAAAGGGTTCACTTTCTATATGAAGCAATTCGGTGCTGGGAAGTTCTTATTGGTCGTGAGGATATGGTTTTGAGGAGAGAACTGTGACACCGTGTCACCGTCGACGACGTAATATCACCGGCCAACAATAAAATTTTAAATGAAAAATGCAAATTTTATTTGAACTTATATAACAGGAAGGTGAGGGGATATTTATTTAGGTAAGTTACATTGATACCCTTGATATTTGGTTTTATTACACGAACACCCCCTCACATTTTAAGAATACCACCGAACTCCCTTGATATTTAATACTTGTAACAATCATATCCCCTCTAACTAACGGACATTAAAATTATTCATGGTCAACATTGATGTCATCAACAATAATTCTTAAAATACCAAAAATACCCTCCAAATTAAGTTTAAGAATTAAAATAAATATTTTTCTTACCTAACAAATTTACCCAACCTCTTATTTATTTTTTTTAATCTATATATTTCATATTTAATTTATTAATCTATTACATTAATAAGTTAATTTTTTTAAAAATTTTGTTTATTAAATAATATTTGAAATTATTAGTACAGTTTAAAAATTAATCATTTTTTAAAAAATCTTAATAATTACCTATCCAATTATACTATATTAATTTTATTTTTATTTTTATTTTTATCTATCTAATTACATAAATTTTTACTCTTACCAACCATCACCCCGTTCCACCACCTAAGCCCACCCATCACCACTGTTTCACCACCGAAACCTACCCAGCACCATTGGTCTACCAACACCAACACAGAGAAAGAGGAGAGACTAAAATCAACCCTGCCTCCACCACCACTGAAACCACCACCTGGATCAAACCCATCATCAACCTACATCACTACATCGTAGAGGTTAAGGTTTCAACCAACACTTGCAAAATCCACCCATTACCACCTGTTCCACCACCTAGGGTATCGATCACAAAGAGATAGGAGAGACAGAGAGATGGAGATCACAAACCCTTGGTATCGATCACCTAAAGATCGTTCGTTGCGCCACTAGGTAAAGATCGTTGGGGCTTTAGGTCTGATACGGAGAGAGAGTGAGAGAGACGTTGGGGCTTTGAGAAAGAGAGAGTGTGCGTATAAAGGGAGGGGTCAGTTTTCTAGGGAGGGGTATTGGGTATTGGGTCTTGGATCTTGGATCTTGGGTTTTAATGGGTAGTTTAGGTGAGGGTAAATTGGTCTTTTTGTTTGTGTTTTTAACAACGTTCATTTTTTGGGGTTTCAGTGTTATTTTGGAAAAGTGAGGGGGTGTTCATGTAATAAAACCAAATATTAAGGGGTGTTAGTGTAATTTATCCTATTTATTTACATAAAATATTATTTATAAATTTTTATGAGGTATATTTATTTAATTATTTTATTATTATTCATCAATAATATTACGTCAACTTAAATTCACCCCATAGAGAGAGGGGGGGGGGGGAATAAATGCCGCCATGATAGAGCAAATGAAAAGAAAAGAGAGAAAATATTGCTGGCCCAAGCTCAACAAGGCGCGTGAGGAATATGTATTCAACATAATGATACTCTCACTATTCTCTCTATCATTCCATGTGTGCTTGTAAGAAGATAAGAATTGATATAAGTGCCGAGTGGCATTTGGTTTAATGGTAGTTTTTATTTTAAGAAGACTTAATTTTTATGAGGTCAATTGTTCAAATCTCTTGAGTGACAAAAAGGTAAATGATTGATAGACTGAAACTCAGTTATTTAAATGAACCGTATCTAATTTTTTTATATGAATTTGAATTCTTACAAAGCTATAAATTTTAATTTAACTAGTGTATGAGTTGAGGGACCGATTTATGTAATTAGAGTTTGCTCTCGATTTTACTCGGATTCACAAGTCTCCGTGAAAGTTATCTCTATCTCACTGAGGACAAACCAAAGATTTCTCCCCCGTCCAAAAATTAAAAAAGAATTGATATAAGAATTATTTTAAAAAAATATTATTTGAACTTAATTTAGGGACCTAATTAATTATAATTGTTGGATTAAAAGTGTATTCCACTTAATATTGAAACACACAATTAATTTAATGATGACATTAAATTACGTTTTCAAATTAAATCTCTATAGTATTGTTCTTATGATATTTATTCTGAGCAATGCTATTGAGACTTAATTTATTAATCTAATTTATTGACCTAATTTATTATGATCTTTGGATTGACGGTAGGGCTCATCAAATATTATAACTTGGTGTTGATCCAATAATTTTATTAAAATCATATCATTATATCAAAAATTAGATCAATTTTTTAAATTCAAATATTATTAATCTTTTATACTTCGTCGTCGTTATTATGACGTTGATTCCCAAAAACCAATGAAGAGATAGGTTTTGACTTTCATTATCATTGTTGTAAACTATGAGCCTAGGATATGATTACGGTACCCCGGCCCCAAAAATATTTTAGTATTATATCTCTAAAATTTATTATTTAAAAAATATTTTTATAATTTTTGTGAATTATTTTATCACAAAGTGATTGATTTATCATTTTTATAAGTATTTTTACCATTATTGTGAGTATTTTTATCATTTTTTTAAAGTATAAAAAAAATTATCATTTTTGTGAGTGATTCATTACATTTATATGTATTTTTATCACATTTGAGATATTTTTATTATTATTGTGGTAACCATTTTTATCCTTTTTTTGGTACCACGACATTGGTTAAAGTATCCACAAATATAATAAATAGAGGTATGATATCAAAAATAATTTTTTCGATACCGTACTCAAATCCATGAGTCCGTGACGTGTCAACTGGTTTTTACGATTATTAAGTTGGGTTGTATTAAAATTCACTTAATACATAATCGTATTGCGTCGCCTTAATGTTACATATAGTTTATATATAGTTATGTATAATTAGGTTTGTATTTTATATATAATTAGGGTCTTATTGACTTCTTTATTAAGTGAGTATGATCAATTAACCTGATTATGATCCAAGTCCATTAAAACTACATAATACATATTATAAATTTTTTATTAATTTTGTCTCCGATTCATAATTAAATTTAAGAATTGATAGCTCTAGCCATGATAAAAAACGATGCATGTGCCATGCAACTTTCTGTTTTCTCCATTTTTAGGAAATTAATTTCAGCTTGTTGAGAAATTAAGTTGATCATTTCGTTTGAAAGAACTAAGGAATAAAAGCATTTTCCAGTCAATATTATATGGATAAATATAAAGGTTTGATTGTCATACTTTTTTTATTAATTACTATATAAGTCTTGTCAATAATTTTTTGCTTAATTTTATTTTAATTTTGAATTTTTTTATTAGAAATTTAAATGAGATTTATTACATTTAAGTGAGTTAAAGGGAAAAACAATATTTCAATAAAAAAAATTAATAAAACCAAAGAGTACACAAAAAGATAGTGTCATTGTGTTAATTATGATCAGTCAATACAAACTCGACACAAAACTAACACAACATAATTTTAAAATTCATATGATTATTAAATATGTATACTAAATAGTCTAAAATAATATTTATCACTTTTCTGGGTCTTGAAACAAATACGATACGAATAACAATGATATGACACAAAAATACCGACAAGTCACATGATATAATTCAAACTAATTTTTTTACAAAAAGAAAAAGGAAAAACTAAAAAAAAAAAAGAAAAAGAAAAAAGAAAAGGTCATCTTAGTGTCTTTTACGGGCAAGGTATACGTGTGGGAAAAGAAAAAATATTTTTCCGGGTCGCCTTACCATCAGTGTATAAGTATTTTGCCACGTGGCAATCAGAAGCCTAGTGTGATTCATGACGTCACGCTTACGGGAGTTGATGACGTAATTATCATCTTCCCTTCGCTTTCCGCGTTGGGTTGATTTTGGTAGTATTGGCTCGGCTGACGTGGCTGCTCTCGTAGTGGTCAGGAACACCACAGATTATTGGCCCTTCTTGATGCGGACTCTATCATAAAAAATAAAAATAAAAAAAATTGAATATTCGTGGTATAATACTTATATTTTAAATATGTTTTTTTATTTAATTATAAAAATTTAAAATTAAAATAAACATTGAGAAAATAAGAGAGAGATAGGGAAGACGGAAGAGAGAAGAGAGAAGAGAAAGATAAGTGAGAATTAAAGGAATTGTCTGGTATTAAAGAGTGTCTTAATTGAGTTGTCGGGTGTTATGAAAATTAAGAATATTATATTTTTTGGATGAAAATTTTTTTTGGAATGAATTTTGTTTGATACAAATTATACCATTAGATGACATTAGATTTAATCTCAACCATTGTTAAGCTTTTATAAATGTGCAATTCAAATTGGTAGTTGTAATATTAAATAGATGATCACAAATCGTTTATAAAACTAATTTCATACTATTCTTTTTTTTTTTTTTGGTCTGAAATTTCATACTATTCAATCAATTTTTTATTCAATTCCTTTTTTTTTTTACATCTAAAACTACTGTCAAATGAAAAATAGCTCTTATGTCTTTTTTGGTGTAATTATGCAGAAGATGGATGAAATAACTTGTTTTTTTTTCCTTTCTAGTGTACATAATCTAAGATTTGTCAATAGATCAAATTTGAATAGAATTTGAATAGATGGTATGTTAATTGACCAATTTTTTTTTTATTGTATACAAAGATTAGACTTATCAATGAATTAGATTCCATTAGAATTTTAATAGATCTTATTTTAATGTGTTAGTGGCATATGCCAATTTGAATTCATGTACAAAATCCATTATATGACCGACATCATGTATAAAATTCATGTTTGAATTCAAGAACAAAAAAAAAAGTCCAAAAATTTAATTTGATACAATAATTTTTATTTTTTTTTGTAATGGGGATGTATGTATTAAAATTGATTCGATTTTAATACAAAAAATTCCAGTAGAGAAGAAAAAAAAAACACTCAAAAAAATAAAAATAAAAGAAGTGTTACAATTCCTTCTCATATGAGAAAATCAAAAATGACCAATGGGTTATGCATTGTTGGTTTTGATATGAATTTTTTAATGTTATGTATTGCAATGACATCGAATTGTTTATTGTTAAACACAAATTCACGGTTTCATGGTCCGTTGAGAGTGCTTCGTTTTGAAAGAGTTGAGAGTGCTCCGTTCATTTCTAGATAAATAAATTGTATTCTCATAATTATAATCAACAAAAATCTACTATTATTTACATTTATATCTATATCTATATAATAAAGTAGCTAGATTATTTGTCTTGAGTTTTTCGCGGCTTAAATTATTTTAATCGTATGGTTCTAATTGATCTTTCATTATTTGTATAACTCTAAGACCCTCAACTTTCATATAATTTTTTTTTCTCTCTCTCATACTATTATATTTTTTTTTGTTTCTTCGATGTTATTTTTGTTATTATATACTTCATAAAACATATAAAATTATATCTTATAAAATTATTTATTCTATGAAACTAATTCAAAATTTTTATATATATGATAGCATGTATTTTGTCACTTGCTTCTTAATTTGTAAATAATACTCAATATAAATAAAAAAAATAGCACATCGATTATAAAACACTAAATAATATTCAACACAAAATTAACCTTAAATTGCAATATATAAGTTTATATAAATTTGACATTTAATTTTTTTCAATTTATAGTAAACTTTGTCGAATTAATATTAAATTAGTTTTTATTATTATCAAATTAATATTAAAATTCATTTAATCAATTTTTTTGGTACAAAATTAAATTTTATTTGATTTTATTAAATTTTTAATTTTGTTTATACTAAATTTAGAGAAGAGCAATTGTAAAAATAAAAAAAAAAAATTTAGATGAAATTATCAATTTTCATTAGCAACATTGTCGGAAGGGAGACAAAGGGGTCTCTATATAATGAATTCAAACTTCAGTTGGTCTCTGTGTTATTTATAAAATGTTAGGAGTTGTCCATGTAATATTGTCACAACTGAGGGAATTTTCATGATTTTTATCCAGATTTTTTAATTAAACATTAATTTTTTATTATTATATCTTAAAAACTTGAGTAGTTATTGGTTAGGAGGATTTTTTGGTAACCAAAAAAAGAAATGTATATGAATATTTTTCTGTATATATTTATATGTGGGGAATCAGACATTTAGTGATTAAATTTGTAATGATATTGTGTCATTTAAGATTGAATAGTGATAAATTCATAAATTTTATGAATGAGTAAGATTTTGTTGATTTTATTTATCGCTTAAAAATTGTGAATTTAATTATATTTTATTAGTATTTTTTTTTTTTGCTTGAGGTATTTATTACATGGGGATATGATGGATTAGAAATATAGTGGTTAAGTTTATAATTATGTTGTATTATTGGATTGAGTAGTAATAAAAGTGATAACTTCGCAAGTCTTATAAATGAACAAGATTTTATTTATTACTTAAAATTATAACTTTCAATAAGGTTATGTTAGTATTTTTTTTTCCTAGATGCATTTGTATATATGATGTTGGTATTGTTATTGAGAGTTTTTATATATTTTTATCACAATGTCATTAATACGCAGGATATGACCGACAATATATTTTGAGTCATTTTAAAAAAAAAATTTGGTATGAATGTTTTTACGTCATTCCTTTTAAATTTGGGTAATTATTTAAGATTTCATTTGTTTGTTTTATAATGTCTTCAAACACGAGTAATGACTAGTTTATATATATATATATCATATCATATCATACTACCTATAAAAGTAAGCATATGTGTAAAACTTTTGTTTTCCATTTTTAACCATCACTAATTCTTTTAACTCACTTGTATCCTTTTAACATATATATTTACTAGCCATAACTCGTGCTTGAAGACACGATAAATTATAAAATTCGAGTGTCTAAAAAATTAATCTCATTATATTAATTTTTTTCAAAATATATTAACTATAAATTAATAAAATATTAAATAATTAAATATATGATAAAAATAAGTGATGTGATATTTTTAGGAAAAAAATATATAAATAATTAAACATATGATAGAAATAAGTGATGTGATCTGACATTTGAGTCTGACAAATGAATGACGAGTGAGATAAGTGATTGATGATGATTTTGAGAGAAAAAATATGACTGAGATAAAATTTAAACATACTCCTACTTTATTATATAAATATAATAAAGTAAAACGAAGTTTGAATTTAAATAACAAAGAGAGGTCTAGATCGTTTTGAGATAAAATATAAACATATCCGACGGATAATATAATCTCAACATAAAAGATGGTTCAGATCATTCCAAAAAATTTGATTTAACGGTCTGCGATGAATACTGAATTTTTTTGTCGCGTAGCAACAGTTCCTTTTTAAATTTTGATTATGTAATCTTAATTGATGTTTGAATTTATTTTTCCCCGTTCAAAAATTTGAGTAAGCCTTTCTTCTCGTATACAACTCTGTATTCCTATACTACTATTGTACCTCTCTCTCTCACACTCATACGATGTCTCTCTCTCTCCCCCTCCCTCCCTCCCTCCATCCCTCCCTCGGTCTCCTCTCTCAGTCACGCCTCTTTTCTCTTTCTCTCTCTCTACGCAGAAAACACACATAAAAACACTCACACACACAAACCGTTGCTGACTCACTCTCCACTGCTCATACCCCTCGAACTCTCTGCAGTAATTCTCCGCTGCTCAAATTGATTCCAGGTACACGCTGAAACTCTCTATTTCTCTCTCGTTGAAATTTCTAAGTTTTGCGAACCAATGGGATTGCCATAGGTGTTGCAGAACATAGCAGGTTTGCAACCCCCATCTAGAAGAGGGGGCCTTCAAATTATTGGTCTGGTTCTTTCTATGGCTATGGTGAGCAATTAAGGAATCGTTCCACTCTGACTCACGTCACAGCCTCCGTCAAGGTGCAGTCGCTACTATGGTTCACATATATGCCCACCACATGTTTGATAATATGCTTTAAGAAATCTTCCCTTTTTGAAATTGGGATTGATGATTTTTTTTGTTTGTTTTTGTTGCTCTGCTGTAGGAAAACGTTGGTCGACTTACAAAGAGTTGGAGTGATTTCACAAAACACACACGCCCACACAATAGAGTTGTTTTTTTTTTTTAGAGAATTGCTTAGTATTCTTTATTCACCACTAATAGACAATTCAATGTGCTTGCTTCTACGCAATTTTATTTGTTGTTGTTTGGAATCCGATTTCTTCCAATTTTAGTTATTCATTGTGACTAAGAGCTAAATTTGATTTTTGGTTTGATTTTGATTTGGTTTGGGTGTATGTCTCTCGATTCTTTTAAGTTTTGCTTGTTTATTGTTTTATTTTTTTTGGTGGAAGTGAGTGAGAAGGGTTTTGAAGATTTGAAGAAATATGTAGATTTGTGGGAGCCTTGAAGCTCGAAGGGTCTGAGGTCAGCCAAAAGATCAGTGTTGGCATGAGCTCTATGAGCTTCAAGATGAAAGAATTCTTCCAAGGCTCTTCAGCATGGATTGTTCACTCACAATTATTCATTGGTTGAAGAAACTTTATCACTTTATCTCAAAAAGCTTTGCATATCATCAAGTTTGTTTCAGCAATTTTATTCTTATTTTTTAGTTGTTGTTGCATGTTTGATCAAAGATTAAGTGAAAGTACTCCTTTGTGCGTTATTTCTATTCAATAGAAGCTTCCCTTACGTTCCTTTATGATGGTGCTAAGGTTTTTTTTTTCTTTTTTGAACTAAATTAGCCCTTTCTTTTTGTGCTCATTTTATGGAGTAACCACTATTCGGCATGTTCTATTTTTCTTTCACCAGATTCTCTTTATATTTGGAGATCTAACCCTTAAAAGTAAGTTTTTCATTAATTTATGTTATGAGTTTATTGTATTTTGAATTGTTCTTTGGTATTTTATTTGATTTTTTCTTTCTTTCCTATGATGGGCTTGGTGTATTAGGATAGGCTAGGGCGTTTAAGTTGTCAAATGAGGACTATGTGTTGCTTCATAGAAGACAAGTTGTTTGAAATTCCATACTTATCAGCTGTTTTTCACGAAACATTGAGAAAGCATAGTCCTGTCCTAGTAATTCCTCTATGATATGTGCACAAAGATACTCAATTAGGAGGTTACTATATCCCTGCTGGAAGCGAGGTTGTTACTCTTCACATCAACTCTTTTTGTTATATAATGCTTACCACTGCCAACAATTTAAAATTTTGACTATCTCTGTGCAGATTTCTATAAACATTTATGGATGTAACATGGACAAAAATGAGTGGGAGAATCCTGAGGAGTGGACTCCTTAGAGATTTCTAGATAGGAAGTACAATTCCATGGATTTGCACAAGACGATGGCCTTTGTAGGGGGAAAGAGGGTATGTGCAGGTGCTTTTCAAGCAACCTCTATTTCTTGCACGGTAATTGGTAGACTTGATGTAATTGGTAGACTTCAAGCAACTCAGGCGCATTGCAACATTGTAAGCAAAACCTCTATTTATTAGTTGTTAGTTTAGTTTGTTGCTTAAGGTTTAGTTTTTTTTTTTAATACAAACGTTTGTTCACCGCATTAACTTTTATTGGTATAGAAGCATAGTTCATGACCGAATACAAATATAAATTGCTTGTTGTGAATTATGTAGAATTTTTTTTCTTTGAACTGAAATTACAACTTATTTGGTTGAAATTGGGAATGATTTAATATCAATTGAATTTTTTTTGCTTCAATTTAGATTACGAGTTTAAAATTGGGAATGATTTATATCAATTACATTTGAGATTATTGCTTTCTATGAGACCTATAATTCAATTTTTGATTTGTTCTGGAGTTGGTGCTCTTGATTTTAACTTGTTGTCTTCATGGCCCTAACAAATTGTTTCACTTTTGAATTTATTGACTTCCTTTGATTGCCGATGATCATACATTATTAAATGATTAGGCAAAATTGTGGCCAGACCGTTATATCTTAGCCTTCTCACTTTGTTTGTATCAATTTATTTGATCGTGATATTGGTTGATAAATGATTAGGCAAAATTGTGGGGTTATAATTAGACGTAAATGTCTGAGTTTAGTGTTTGATTATTTCATACCCAAATTTAGTGCTCAATGTTTTTTGAATTGCACCGTGCCTTCAGACACATGTTATCTCTAATGTGTATATATATATCAGTTGGCCATCAGAAGTCGAACCGCTTCATNCTTGATTATTTCATACCCAAATTTAGTGCTCAATGTTTTTTGAATTGCACCGAGCCTTCAGACACAGGTTATCTCTAATGTGTATATATATATCAGTTGGCCATCAGAAGTCGAACCGCTTCATCTTCCATGGCTTTGTTAACATCACAGATAGCTAAGACATTCAATTTGCTTTTTGAGACCTTATCGTCTTCCGGCTTGGGCATTTCGTCGATCTTCTTCTTCAACGACAACGAAGGACTATCAAAATGAATTTTACGACAACGTAGTTTAGTGTTGCGGCATCAACAGTTGAATAATCACGTTTTCGGTATCGGAGACTATGTTGGATCAAAACAGAGAAAAGAAGTCTTTTCCTGAAACCACTGATGATGTCAATTTGGGGTCGGAGAGAGAAAGCCCTCGCTGCCACTATTCTCTCTGCGATCCTCGTTAACCCTCTTGACGTTGCGAAGGTTGTTTAATTTTTTTGATTCACTGTTATATTTAATTTTCTTAAATGATTCATGTTAACTACTCTATTTTACCTTTTGAGGATTCTTAGTATTCATATGCAATTGGAATTATTAGCTTGAGGCTTGGTATGTTTCCTTTCTTGTTGACATGCGATTTGTTCTGAATTGCGACACTCGTTTGCAAATTCTTCATTTTTCCTGAAACACTGTTTGACGTTTTTTTTTTTTTTTGGCATTATTATATGATAATTTTATGCCCTTCTTACTCCTCCGCAACCATTTATTCTTTGATTAGAAAATTTTACACTACTTTTAATTTGTTTCGATTTTCAATTAGTTGAGTAGGAATTCTTTGCTTATCTGCTTATTTAGAGTCTCGTTTTAAATGGTGCTTGGGAGAATTCTTTACAATTTCAATGGATTCCTCCGGCGAAACTCGATACACCCGAAAAAGCTCTGACATGGCCAATGTTGTTCTGCATTTTTTGATGTAGGTTGGAGTAATTGTGTCGAAACAAAAGTCTCATCTGAGAATTCCAGTCGATGATTGGAGTTCCTCACCATTGGATGATGGTGTTTTTGATCTTCAAACCCATCTCTTGCATGGGTTGATTCACTATAATAGGTTTGGTCATCTACTCTATATTAATGGAATTGAAGGAGACTCTAGGTATCTCTGCGGCAGAGAAAGACTACACGAAAGTGATTCCAACAAACAAACAATTCACTAATGCAGTATTCAAACAAAAACAAAGAGAATGCCAACCGAAGAAATCCATGTTTTGAAACCCAGTAAGGGAACCAACAACCCAAGTCCTCAATTCATTCTTCAACTCCGTTTTCTTTTTTCCCCTTGCAAAATCCCAGGCACAATTTTAGATAAAAAGACTCCAAAATCACAACCCATCTAGCTCACTAATTCCACATCTCCATTATGCATCACTTCAACAATGTCAACACTCAAAAAGGAGGAACGCCTATCAACATTCAACAATGCATCCCTCATTAGTTGTTGTTAAAATACATCCACCCCTTCGCATATATGTTAAGTCTAGCGGGAATTAAAACCTGCCACTAGAATTGATCCCTGTTATATATATTTAATAAGAAAGGAGTGGCCCAAAACTCCCCCAATGTTCATAAACCCCCAAGAATGTGACTATGTAATTATTCATTGATATATGCTCACTAAACGATGGAAATTGCCCTTATAAGAAAGTGATTCAAAGATTATTTTTTTTTGTTTTTCCTATTATCCCTTCTCTTTTCCCTGGTTCATGTATTTTGGGATAGATGAAGTATCTTAGGGATGATTGCTTAACAAAGCAGGAAAACATGGAAGGAACAAAGGGAATTGGTCTTTCAGTTGTTTGTGCTATTAACTGTAAGTATGATATACCATGTTCTCTGGTTGTTGTATTATCTATATGTGTCGTATGCATTTGTTTCTTGTTCGGTTAACTTATACAATTTGCAGATCGTGCTCCAACACAGAGGTCCATAGATTCTTATTATTATCCTATCATTGAATTCAATTGTTCCATCTTCTGCAACAATTTTTAATGTCTTCTATTTGCTCATGTATAATTGTTTTTGTTTTTCCTATCTTTTATCTTGGATGATTTAGTTGATTTCATTGTAGTTTCTTTTAATGGAAAATCCTAAAAATTACCTCCAAGTTTGGTAGATTCTATCTTTTTTTCTTTAAATCTACTTGCAATGTGTTGATTTGGGACAACCCATTGAGAAACAACCAGCTGATAATGTCCAATTTACATCTATGTATTGTTTTAATGAATTGGAATAAGTTAATTCATGGAACTTTTGTAGTTTCTGCCTTTGGCTACTTTAGCCTATAGTAAGTTGCTTATGTTTGTATATGGAATTTACCACTTTTTTTCTCAGATTGGTCATGTCAAATCCCAATTGGGGATGACAACACAACTTAATAGTGTCTAATACATATTAATACCAGTTATATGCAACAGTGTTGGATTGGAATGTATGTTATAATGAGGGAGGTTGGGATAGATTCTTACCATCTGACGAGGGTAACTCTGATGATGAAGAATTGACGAAAGTCATCGACCAAACAGATCATTCAATTTTTTGGACCATGAAATTGCTGAGCTCACAAAGCTTAGATCAAGCCAAAAAGTACAGCTAAGACCTTCCTCGAAAGCAGAATCTCTTATTTCAATAGTGAAGATGTTGCCATGTTGGAGAATCAAGTTCTTCAAGAGGGATGTTCTCTTGAGTAGATGGTTGTCTTGTTCTAAGTCAGTGTTTGCCTGCCAATGGTCCTTGGGTTGTCAACCAAAAGACGACCCGAGCTTGTGCTTCTAATTTTCCCCTATGCTCTCTTTTTGTTGCTGGTTTTCTCCTATTGGTTATTTTCCTAGGAAATTTATTTATGCAATCAAAAGGTTCATGAAACTTTTATCTGGAAGTTCTGATTTTTTCTTACCCTTACATCGGTTTCTTAGGAAGAAATGAAAAATGAATCTTATCATTCATTAATGTCTACATTAAAGGACCTAATGATTAAATGGATTGAACAAAATATAATATGGCAAACTGAGTGTTATGAATTGTGTCATTTGATTATAGTATTAACTAATCCATGACAAAGTTAAGTTGAATTTAGTCACATGGGTAGTGAACTATTCATTGATTGCCATGCTTGCTCATTTTCCATTTGCAGGCCATGTTATGAATATGAGGGAGGAGTGGGAATTTGACTTTCCCCCAATGCAAGACCAGAATACAATATGGCAAGGTTTGTTCCATATTGGATTCTATTCATTAAGTGTGGTGTATGTGTACTGACAAAATGGTTTGTTCTATATTTGTCCTGGTCATTATGTGCATTTATGTGTAATCCATTCATTAGTTTTCCAACACTTGCTACTTTGTGAGCATCTATGTGCAACCATACTGTTAGAGCGTTACTTGGTGCAGTAAGTCAACCCTTTTTTATATGCATGTCTACCCCTATGGAGTATGAATAAATTTATCTTTCAATTATTCCCTGTCATAGACGTGCAATTAGTCAACTATTTCGATTCAATTCTACCTCCAGGGGTTGTGAGTTTCTCACTGTGTTCTGTGGAAGTTTTAAGACATAATAAAACTAAATCAAAACCAGCGCTAATGTTTTAAACTTAAAATTTATGAGTTTCCAATTAGAGAGTCATCTTGGTTGGGAGGAGCAATCTACACGCCTTTTGTTTAGACCAATGCACTTAGGGAGCATTCTACTGTTTTTGGAGAATGTGCTTTAGCGACTACTTTCTTCGTGCCTACAAAGCTTTTTTTTTTGCCTAACTTGATAATATTCTGTCCGTTTTCTTTCTTCGTTTACTGTGATGTTTGCCATTAGAAAGGTTTTCGTTAGGTGCCCCATTAGTCATCAGAAAGGATTTAAGTAGTAATTTGAGGTGGTAAATTTTAATGGCTAATGTTGAACCTAAACAGTGAATACCAGAGAACATATGCAATTTGAAAATAGATATACCTCGAAGTGATCCTCAGATAATTGTAAATGCATACACTTGACAGAATTGGANTTTGCACAAGTGTCTATTAAGACCCTCTTGATTTTTGGTAGTGGCCTACAAAGGCCTCTACATACAGGGAGTATGGGGATTGCAAATGTAAAGTCAAAATCATTCTGAGTGAAGGTAATTGGTTGGGGAGAAATTAGACTTCCCGCCATAGCAATTTAAATTTTGCCACTAATGATTTAAAGTTTAAGTGATAAAATTTTTTACTTGCAGCAAAAATATGCAATTTTTACAGCAACAATGTTTTTTCCCGTCACTGTACGATAATTTTAGTGACAGTAAAAGTTGCCATCGATAAGTCTTTGCAAAATAAGCCCAAAAAAAAGTTCTTCGCTTCATATTTACCCTAACTCTTTGCCCCCCCCCCCTTCTCTTTCCCTCTCGATCTCTAGATCTGAAATTTCAATGGTGGCACCCTTGACTGTTCGAGCATCTTGTGAGCGTGGTGTGTTGTGTCGTCGTTCTACGGCCACTACTGTATTTGTGTTGAAGAATTGCAAGGTAGGGTTTTCTTTTAGATCTTTCAATTTTTGTCCTCCCGTCAATCTCTCACTTATGTCCTTCGAAATGCTTGATATCATGTTCGAGTTTGTTAAATTGAGTGTGATTTCATGGTCAAGTGATGTTATGAGATGAATATTTCCTTCTTTGTGTTATGGACTTAATAGGCGACTTTTGATTTTGGATTTTGGTTGTAGTTTGTGTTGAATTGACGATATTTTATAGTGAATCAACGAAATCTAGGCCTTTCTCACTATATTGTTCGATGAAAGTTTTGCAAAAGTGATATACTGCTAAAGTTTATATCGTGAGATGTGGTTTCTTGCTTTGATTGACATTAATTCTATAGGAAACTCAGTGGCTCTAATTTTGTTGAATACTTGTTTAGATCCTAAGTTGTATCCCTCACGCACGATATCGAAATTTTGGTATTGTTTCTCTCTCCCTCTCTATCNCTAGACCAAAGGTGCCTAATAGTGTAGGGAAACTAATCGGGTAACGAATCTCATCCTTAGCTAAACCAAGTCCCAGGTGGTAACCCAATTGAAGTTGAGCTTGTGTCAAGCCCGCTTTTTTATAAAATCTCAACGTGGGATAGAAGAGGTTTGGAACCCTCATCACGAATTTCATATGGGATATCCACAAAGGATACCAAGGATGGTCGTGGATCAATACAAGATTGAGAAGAAGAGTCCAACATATAATAAAGTCTTGAATGAAGCTTGGGTTGATGGGGTTTTCTTTACTAGTGAACCAATCTTGGGAGTAAAGCATGATATGATGCATTCTTCCTCAACTTCAAGTTCACTAACTAAAGTGATAATGGTTCCGTTAATGGAAAAATTGATATTGATATGATATGAGGATACCACAACCAAGTTGGCGTGGATCCAAGGTCGTGCTAGCAACATTTTATATTTATTTTATAGTATATCCGCTACATGGAATAGAGTTGACCGAACAAGGGGTCCTATTTGGAGATTAAGTTGAACTATACCTTGCGTGGTTCGAGTGGTCCCGTCATATGCACGAACAGCTGTAGTCAAGAGCAAACCAGGAAGGGTAAAAATGAGACTTCCTAGTTGTACTCGATGTGAAAATCTTCCATTTTGCACAAGTGTCTATTAAGACCCTCTTGATTTTTGGTAGTGGTCTACAAAGGCCTCTACATACAGGGATCGAGTATGGGGATTGCAAATGTAAAGTCAAAATCATTCTGAGTGAAGGTAATTGGTTGGGGAGAAATTAGACTTCCCGCCATAGCAATTTAAATTTTGCCACTAATGATTTAAAGTTTAAGTGATAAAATTTTTTACTTGCAGCAAAAATATGCAATTTTTACAGCAACAATGTTTTTTCCCGTCACTGTACGATAATTTTAGTGACAGTAAAAGTTGCCATCGATAAGTCTTTGCAAAATAAGCCCAAAAAAAAGTTCTTCGCTTCATATTTACCCTAACTCTTTGCCCCCCCCCCCTTCTCTTTCCCTCTCGATCTCTAGATCTGAAATTTCAATGGTGGCACCCTTGACTGTTCGAGCATCTTGTGAGCGTGGTGTGTTGTGTCGTCGTTCTACGGCCACTACTGTATTTGTGTTGAAGAATTGCAAGGTAGGGTTTTCTTTTAGATCTTTCAATTTTTGTCCTCCCGTCAATCTCTCACTTATGTCCTTCGAAATGCTTGATATCATGTTCAAGTTTGTTAAATTGAGTGTGATTTCATGGTCAAGTGATGTTATGAGATGAATATTTCCTTCTTTGTGTTATGGACTTAATAGGCGACTTTTGATTTTGGATTTTGGTTGTAGTTTGTGTTGAATTGACGATATTTTATAGTGAATCAACGAAATCTAGGCCTTTCTCACTATATTGTTCGATGAAAGTTTTGCAAAAGTGATATACTGCTAAAGTTTATATCGTGAGATGTGGTTTCTTGCTTTGATTGACATTAATTCTATAGGAAACTCAGTGGCTCTAATTTTGTTGAATACTTGTTTAGATCCTAAGTTGTATCCCTCACGCACGATATCGAAATTTTGGTATTGTTTCTCTCTCCCTCTCTATCTCTCTCTGGACCTCCCAGTGGTGGTCATTCTAGTACCGTAGGTGTCATGTTCCTTCTCATTAATCAAGTATAGACCTAATATGTGGCTTTAATTTATGCTTCTTTGGTTTATTGTTGTTCTGGTTAATGTTTACCGTTTATATCTGTTACTCTGTCTATATTCTATATGCTTAGAGAATCTGACAAAAAGAAACTGCCCATGATAGCGGTGTGGGGTGTGTCTCACTTCAATTTTTTTTGGTTCTTTATCTGATGAGCTTGCTAATCTCTACCGATCATTTCTGGAGAGTGTAAAATATTTGCATCATCTGTTGCAGTTGTATGCCCGAGTGTAAGCTTGCGCTGAATGATAGAGTGTTGTTAGAGTCACAGGGACGATCAACTAAGGGAAAAGTCTTTGATCTAGATGACATCAAATTTCATCAGCATGTAGTCTAACCCTTGGTGTGGTTTTTTTACTCTCTCTCTCTCTTCCTTGCTCCTTGTTCTCCTACTCATGCTACTCTTTGTGTAGGGGTGTTCATTTGGCCCGCTTCAAAAATGATGAGGCAGTATCATTTATACCTCGTGATGGTTCTTTTGATCTCATGACATATAGACTCAGGTTCTCCTTTTGGTTATGTGGTTTTTGTCCTTACTTGTTCACGTCTTCATGTACTACCTCATATAATCATATCCAGGTGCTAGAAATTCCTTTTTTTTGAAGTTGAAAGATGCAGATATTATCTATACTTTGCAGTGGATCTGGAAATTGACAAGGATGCACTAAAGCTTATTACATCAAGATCAGATGGATCTTTATGGGATGTTGAGATGACCGTTGAACAACTGAATTTGATTGGGCAGTGAATCTCTGTTCCTCTTGTTCAGGAACTGGTAAGTTATATGTCTGTTTAGCAAAACTAAAACAGATTTTTGGAATTGTTTTTCTTACCCTGCATCATTTTATTATCTAATTACCCACAACCAATGTTGTTATACACCAGCAACCTCTATTGAATTTCATGTGCTTGCATTCATCAATTTAGCAACTACATATGTTTCAGAGAATAGGCATTGCCCTGTATTTAGAGCTAGTACTTACATCTCTCGAATATTGCTTATCCTGTTAACATTAATGTCCTAAAAAATTGTTTTTTTCCTTGGCTTAGATAGATGCTGCCAACACTGCTTGTCTTTTTGTGCGACTTGGTTAATTTGTTGAGTTTTTATTGCTAAACAAATTACTATCCTACAGCAATCTTCACTTGATACTTGCAATTGGTTAAACACTTTACCAGAGACGGTTGATAAGGTTCCACAATTCATTCAAGTTAATGCACGTGTTTGGCCATAGTACTTCCTTTAGTTCTTAGTTGTCAACATAGCCAAGGAGCCTTTCTGGCATATAACTTTGTGTAAATTGTTTTTTCGTCCGTTAATTTTCCTGGTTTGTCAGACTATGTTGATGACCAGGGATACTACTGTAATGATATCTGTTTCTTTTTGATAAGGAACTTTTATGATGGCCCATGGAAACAATGCCCTTTTGGTGCTTGTGCAATGCCATCCTTCAAGCCTCTTCAAGGCAACCTTTCAGCCAGTGGCTCACTTTATTGCTCATCCAAAATTATTAACTAGTCCTCAAATTTATTACTGTCATATGATGGGTGATAGATAGTCTACATTTGGTCAACTGAAGTCCTTGTTTTAGGCCTAGGGCTTCTTGGCCAATGGAGTACGATAATTTTGATTCACAAAGATGTATATACTTCGTCTGCATGGATCAGAGCCTCTCATCAAAGAAATAAATAAAATTTGAACTAAAAATAGGAGTATCTGTAAAAGGCTATTAGTGGGCTCATCCTTTATGCCATATGCTGAATACTGATTCTTTTTATAGAATTTTGATGAACTGCATAAAATTGAAAATGCCAAAAAAGGGGGGACTCATCCCTTGTATGTGTGAGGTTTTATTTTATGTTACTCTTTAATGTGCTTGAATTTAGTGCTCAACATGCCTTGAATTATGTATTACCTGCAGAACATCTCAAAACCTCTTACTGATTTGTGGGGGTTGCTATGTATGAATTGCTGAGATGATTATTAATTGCGGGTTGGGCTCATATCTGACGAGAAGTTAGTAGATCTACTCGATTTAGCATTATCTGCTGACACAGTTAACACTGTAATCAATTTAATTAATTTATTTTTATCTCTTTTACTAATTGTTGTTTGATTATTTGTTCATATGTTATACTCTTTGTGCTTCCTATTAATGTTGGGTAATTTTTGTTTGGTACAAACCAGTGGAAGCTCTGATAACAGTTTTGGAAGGCTCACTTTTAAAGACAAAGACGAAAGATTCAATAACCTGTCAAAAATTGAATGTGTAGTTGAGAGTTGATTGTTGTGCAATTACTTTCTTTTGAGTAGGTATCATTGTCTAGTTGATAGGACACAATTTGAAATCATGATCATAATTTTTTTGTTCATTCCTATTCTTTAATGATGATGCATTGTACACGTACAATTTAATGATACTAATATCATAATATTATTTTTACATGATTTGATTTGGGAATTATATCTTTGAAAGTGAGTGTTTGTGTTATTATGTTATTTGTTTCCTCATTGGGTATATATATTGATTCATTGAACTATAACAGGTATGTGAAATTGGAAAATATTCAAAAATAAATTCTTTCAAATATGTAATAGGTGTTTTTATGTACATTTTAATGTATTAACCGAAACAATAAGTTATCACTAAAAGCATGTTTCAAATTTTAATGGTAATTTTAATTATGGGTAAAATATATACTTTTAGCCGTAATTAATTGTTGTCACAAAAAGTCAGATTTTAATTGGAATTTTAGTGATGACATGGTATATTTTAGTGACAAAATTTCGTTAACTCGTTACAATAATTATTGTGGCTAACATTATTGACATTTTCATATTGTGGTTAAAAAATTTATTTTTAATGGTAACAATTAAATGTCATAGTTAAAGGATTTAGCCACACACGTAATTGTCACGGCCTAGTGGCAATAAAAATTGTCACTAAAGTATATAGTGATATTTTTTATACATTTAATTGCAACAATTTCTGAGACTAAAAGACCAATTTCTTGCGGTAGAGGTAAGGGAAGATGAAAGGGTGGCACAATAAAGAACTGAGCCCATCTACAAGAGGCTTTCGTTACTGTGGAGTTTAGAATCACCTCATGTACAGACCTTTATTTTCAAATACATTTATGTCTCGAAACTTTGATGCCTGGTTGACAATGGAATAACCTTTGTCACTACACCGAGACCCACCTCCCAAATAGAACCCCCAGTGCAACCCCAAAATAAGTTCCATGAGGAAAGGAAACTTCTTCTTGTCCTTGCTATAGGTCATCTGCAAAAACAAAAGTAGTGTTTCACCCCCTCCCTCCCCCAAAACTCAAGAATGGAAAAAATTATGTTCTACCAGGAAACTCAATTTAGCATAGACTAACTTATCAGTTCCAATACAATGAAATATGTATTAAACTCCAATCAATGACAACAATAAGGTCTTCTCTTACTGTCCAATCTTGGGAATTTTCAAACAAAGGTTACATAATTAAATTGCATAGAGGCATATCATTCAGCTACTGATCTTCAACCGTGTGTATGATACAGAGAGAGAGAACCTCAAAGCAAACACTCTTTTTCTTATTGTTAAAGAAAGCTCATTTGTTCCTTCTTCATCATCTTATTCATCATCTCTTTCTATTTGCTTGACACGCTCATCATCTTCATCATCTTCTGCTGCTTCTATTTGCTTTGTCATCATCATCATCTTCATCTTGTTCATAATAATCTTCTGTTTGAGGCTAGATGACAAGAAGGAAAGTGGTGACTTAAAAGGAGAGAAATAGTTTAGCCTTGAAATGAAACTGGGCAATAGTGCATAGATAACTATCTTCTTTAATTTTTCAGGGGGAAGTGAGAAATAAAAGGAAGAAATTGAAAAGAATAAAGACATACAGTTCGCTTGCATTTTGTATGGTTGTGTTAAGATCACCCATCCAAAATTCTTGTCCGCCAATGGATATATTTCCTTCTCCTAGCTTTCCTGTGCTTAGTGGTCCAGAGCTGAAAGTCTTCATGTTTGGACAGCCGCTGATTTCCAGTTTATTCAATGACGGAAATTGAAATTCACAGTTTCCAGAGCAAAAGCAATTGAGGTTTTCTAGATTTGCAAGCGATATCTCTTCCAATTGTGGAAACAAAATTGTGTCCCCTATCATTTGTTCTTCCTCCTTTGTAGTAACAATCTCGTCTAAAATCTTGATCTTCAAAAGATCTTCTTCCGTGTCAATAATTTCTTCAATCATCTTGCACTCATAAACCNGTTCTTTTGATCTCATGACATATAGACTCAGGTTCTCCTTTTGGTTATGTGGTTTTTGTCCTTACTTGTTCACGTCTTCATGTACTACCTCATATAATCATATCCAGGTGCTAGAAATTCCTTTTTTTTGAAGTTGAAAGATGCAGATATTATCTATACTTTGCAGTGGATCTGGAAATTGACAAGGATGCACTAAAGCTTATTACATCAAGATCAGATGGATCTTTATGGGATGTTGAGATGACCGTTGAACAACTGAATTTGATTGGGCAGTGAATCTCTGTTCCTCTTGTTCAGGAACTGGTAAGTTATATGTCTGTTTAGCAAAACTAAAACAGATTTTTGGAATTGTTTTTCTTACCCTGCATCATTTTATTATCTAATTACCCACAACCAATGTTGTTATACACCAGCAACCTCTATTGAATTTCATGTGCTTGCATTCATCAATTTAGCAACTACATATGTTTCAGAGAATAGGCATTGCCCTGTATTTAGAGCTAGTACTTACATCTCTCGAATATTGCTTATCCTGTTAACATTAATGTCCTAAAAAATTGTTTTTTTCCTTGGCTTAGATAGATGCTGCCAACACTGCTTGTCTTTTTGTGCGACTTGGTTAATTTGTTGAGTTTTTATTGCTAAACAAATTACTATCCTACAGCAATCTTCACTTGATACTTGCAATTGGTTAAACACTTTACCAGAGGGGGTTGATAAGGTTCCACAATTCATTCAAGTTAATGCACGTGTTTGGCCATAGTACTTCCTTTAGTTCTTAGTTGTTAACATAGCCAAGGTGCCTTTCTGGCATATAACTTTGTGTAAATTGTTTTTTCTTCCGTTAATTTTCCTGGTTTGTCAGACTACGTTGATGACCAGGGATACTACTGTAATGATATCTGTTTCTTTTTGATAAGGAACTTTTATGATGGCCCATGGAAACAATGCCCTTTTGGTGCTTGTGCAATGCCATCCTTCAAGCCTCTTCAAGGCAACCTTTCAGCCAGTGGCTCACTTTATTGCTCATCCAAAATTATTAACTAGTCCTCAAATTTATTACTGTCATATGATGGGTGATAGATAGTCTACATTTGGTCAACTGAAGTCCTTGTTTTAGGCCTAGGGCTTCTTGGCCAATGGAGTACGATAATTTTGATTCACAAAGATGTATATACTTCGTCTGCATGGATCAGAGCCTCTCATCAAAGAAATAAATAAAATTTGAACTAAAAATAGGAGTATCTGTAAAAGGCTATTAGTGGGCTCATCCTTTATGCCATATGCTGAATACTGATTCTTTTTATAGAATTTTGATGAACTGCATAAAATTGAAAATGCCAAAAAAGGGGGGACTCATCCCTTGTATGTGTGAGGTTTTATTTTATGTTACTCTTTAATGTGCTTGAATTTAGTGCTCAACATGCCTTGAATTATGTATTACCTGCAGAACATCTCAAAACCTCTTACTGATTTGTGGGGGCTGCTATGTATGAATTGCTGAGATGATTATTAATTGCGGGTTGGGCTCATATCTGACGAGAAGTTAGTAGATCTACTCGATTTAGCATTATCTGCTGACACAGTTAACACTGTAATCAATTTAATTAATTTATTTTTATCTCTTTTACTAATTGTTGTTTGATTATTTGTTCATATGTTATACTCTTTGTGCTTCCTATTAATGTTGGGTAATTTTTGTTTGGTACAAACCAGTGGAAGCTCTGATAACAGTTTTGGAAGGTTCACTTTTAAAGACTAAGACGAAAGATTCAATAACCTGTCAAAAATTGAATGTGTAGTTGAGAGTTGATTGTTGTGCAATTACTTTCTTTTGAGTAGGTATCATTGTCTAGTTGATAGGACACAATTTGAAATCATGATCATAATTTTTTTGTTCATTCCTATTCTTTAATGATGATGCATTGTACACGTACAATTTAATGATACTAATATCATAATATTATTTTTACATGATTTGATTTGGGAATTATATCTTTGAAAGTGAGTGTTTGTGTTATTATGTTATTTGTTTCCTCATTGGGTATATATATTGATTCATTGAACTATAACAGGTATGTGAAATTGGAAAATATTCAAAAATAAATTCTTTCAAATATGTAATAGGTGTTTTTATGTACATTTTAATGTATTAACCGAAACAATAAGTTATCACTAAAAGCATGTTTCAAATTTTAATGGTAATTTTAATTATGGGTAAAATATATACTTTTAGCCGTAATTAATTGTTGTCACAAAAAGTCAGATTTTAATTGGAATTTTAGTGATGACATGGTATATTTTAGTGACAAAATTTCGTTAACTCGTTACAATAATTATTGTGGCTAACATTATTGACATTTTCATATTGTGGTTAAAAAATTTATTTTTAATGGTAACAATTAAATGTCAAAGTTAAAGGATTTAGCCACACATATTGTCACGGCCTAGTGGCAATAAAAATTGTCACTAAAGTATATATTGATATTTTTTATACATTTAATTGCAACAATTTCTGAGACTAAAAGACCAATTTCTTGCGGTGGAGGTAAGGGAAGCTGAAAGGGTGGCACAATAAAGTACTGAGCCCATCTACAAGAGGCTTTCGTTACTGTGGAGTTTAGAATCACCTCATGTACAGACCTTTATTTTCAAATACATTTATGTCTCGAAACTTTGATGCCTGGTTGACAATGGAATAACCTTTGTCACTACACCGAGACCCACCTCCCAAATAGAACCCCCAGTGCAACCCCAAAATAAGTTCCATGAGGAAAGGAAACTTCTTCTTGTCCTTGCTATAGGTCATCTGCAAAAACAAAAGTAGTGTTTCACCCCCTCCCTCCCCCAAAACTCAAGAATGGAAAAAATTATGTTCTACCAGGAAACTCAATTTAGCATAGACTAACTTATCAGTTCCAATACAATGAAATATGTATTAAACTCCAATCAATGACAACAATAAGGTCTTCTCTTACTGTCCAATCTTGGGAATTTTCAAACAAAGGTTACATAATTAAATTGCATAGAGGCATATCATTCAGCTACTGATCTTCAACCGTGTGTATGATACAGAGAGAGAGAACCTCAAAGCAAACACTCTTTTTCTTATTGTTAAAGAAAGCTCATTTGTTCCTTCTTCATCATCTTATTCATCATCTCTTTCTATTTGCTTGACACGCTCATCATCTTCATCATCTTCTGCTGCTTCTATTTGCTTTGTCATCATCATCATCTTCATCTTGTTCATAATAATCTTCTGTTTGAGGCTAGATGACAAGAAGGAAAGTGGTGACTTAAAAGGAGAGAAATAGTTTAGCCTTGAAATGAAACTGGGCAATAGTGCATAGATAACTATCTTCTTTAATTTTTCAGGGGGAAGTGAGAAATAAAAGGAAGAAATTGAAAAGAATAAAGACATACAGTTCGCTTGCATTTTGTATGGTTGTGTTAAGATCACCCATCCAAAATTCTTGTCCGCCAATGGATATATTTCCTTCTCCTAGCTTTCCTGTGCTTAGTGGTCCAGAGCTGAAAGTCTTCATGTTTGGACAGCCGCTGATTACCAGTTTATTCAATGACGGAAATTGAAATTCACAGTTTCCAGAGCAAAAGCAATTGAGGTTTTCTAGATTTGCAAGCGATATCTCTTTCAATTGTGGAAACAAAATTGTGTCCCCTATCATTTGTTCTTCCTCCTTTGTAGTAACAATCTCGTCTAAAATCTTGATCTTCAAAAGATCTTCTTCCGTGTCAATAATTTCTTCAATCATCTTGCACTTATGAACCTGTAGCAACATTAGATTCCCAAGCAATTTCGCGATAGTAGGTGATAATATGTATCTCAAGCTCTCACAGTTTGAAATATCAATGCTTGTCAAATTCTGAAAACCTTGAAGGTTTTTGGGAACCATCCTCCATACATGCATTAACTTAGGTAAATCACCTAATTCCAATAACATCAACTGACCAAGTGTGACTTCTGCATGATCTCTCCGAGCTGTTAACCCCTCGAAGTTAAACACTGCTTCCAGTTCGCAACAACCATTGACATGAAGTTGTTGGAGATTTGGAAATAATTTTTGCTGACCAGGTGCAACAACATTGAAAACCTTTTCACAATACGACACATCCAAGCCTCTTGGTTTGTGGAAGGACCCACCTTGCATTTGGTAGTCTACTATGTGCACCACACTGATTCTCCTGAGATGCAGTTTCTCCAAGTTAGGCAGAAAAACCTGCGATTATATGAAGTTTTCAAGTAAGTGATCATGGTAAACCGTATGTATGTCCAATAAACAATTAACTACACGCAGCACAGAANGCAGTATCTCCAAGTTAGGCAGAAAAACCTGCGATTATATGAAGTTTTCAAGTAAGTGATCATGATAAACCGTATGTATGTCCAATAAACAATTAACTACACGCAGCACAGAAAAAAAAGAGGAACTTCATTCACTAAAACATCAACCTATATCAAACCCTCTACTTGTTGCGGACAAATTGCACTTTAGGGCATGCAGCATTTTTCAATTAAATTTTGACAAATGATATTTGAAAATAAGTCTTTTTAATTTACAATATAAGTCTTAAAGATTGATTAAACATAGAAGGACCAAAAGTAAGTATACAATATCAATGCAAACAAACAAAATTACAAAAAATGAGGTTAATTATATAAGAGATGTGATCAAAATATCAATATTAAAGTCATAACTTGTAATATCAATACCAAAGTTTGAAGGTTGTGGCGTGTGATACGTCACTGATTACTGGTGCTTTGTTTGCTTTAGTGCTTTTGGAGAGAACTTTAGAATTGAGTAGACCAGAAATTCTTTTATACAATTTCTTTTTTTTATTGTTGACTCCTAGAGATTCTATAGTACATTCTATTTTTATCACAGTCCATTAACCAAGAGAGATTTGCTCTACTAAAGGACCCAATTTTGTTTATTTAAAGATATTAGGGTGGGCATAATTGAAAATATTAAAAAAATATATATACACAAATCATACATTGGTAAAAAACAAATTTCAGGGTGGGCCGGGCCCCTGGCCCATGTGTGCCTCCACCACTGTTAACAACATTTTAGTTATTAAATATTTAAATAAATTATTTTTTTCAAAAAACTTAGCCACCACCACATTTTACGATCAGCATAAAAAAAAAAAAAAAATTGGGTGACATACCTCAAGGGTAATTGACTATTACCCAAAGTCTATTGCAAGTCACATGTTTGTAATGCCATTTTATAATAAACAAATTAACATTTCNTTAAGTCTTAAAGATTGATTAAACATAGAAGGACCAAAAGTAAGTATACAATATCAATGCAAACAAACAAAATTACAAAAAATGAGGTTAATTATATAAGAGATGTGATCAAAATATCAATATTAAAGTCATAACTTGTAATATCAATACCAAAGTTTGAAGGTTGTGGCGTGTGATACGTCACTGATTACTGGTGCTTTGTTTGCTTTAGTGCTTTTGGAGAGAACTTTAGAATTGAGTAGACCAGAAATTCTTTTATACAATTTCTTTTTTTTATTGTTGACTCCTAGAGATTCTATATTACATTCTATTTTTATCACAGTCCATTAACCAAGAGAGATTTGCTCTACTAAAGGACCCAATTTTGTTTATTTAAAGATATTAGGGTGGGCATAATTGAAAATATTAAAAAAATATATATACACAAATCATACATTGGTAAAAAACAAATTTCAGGGTGGGCCGGGCCCCTGGCCCATGTGTGCCTCCACCACTGTTAACAACATTTTAGTTATTAAATATTTAAATAAATTATTTTTTTCAAAAAACTTAGCCACCACCACATTTTACGATCAGCATAAAAAAAAAAAAAAAAATTGGGTGACATACCTCAAGGGTAATTGACTATTACCCAATGTCTATTGCAAGTCACATGTTTGTAATGCCATTTTATAATAAACAAATTAACATTTCTAACAACTAATTCTATAAAAAAAATTAAGAATTCAGATTAAGTACTAACTCAATAGAATTCTTAATAATCTACAAAAAAGCAAGTAGGTTCCTAAAAAGACAAAAACTTGGAAGTGGGGGAGAATATTTGTGTATTGTTTGTAAAGAGAAATACAGAGGTGAAAGAGAAAAAAAATAACGTAATGATGGTGAATTCAGGAGCAGCAAAATCCCAATTCAGAGAAACTATTTTTGTGTGGTGGCGAAACTCCTTCGCCCCACTACAATTTCTTACTTTCTATTTCTTTCTTTAATCATAAATGCATTATAAGTATCAGCAAGTTAAGGTATTCATTTCTAAAGTATCTTTCATCTTTAACAAAAAAATCTTTTCCCTAAATTATTTGTTTTTTCACAGATGAAAATAAATTTGTTGCCTTCTCACAAACATGTTCATTTCTAAGTTGTTTCCCACTAAAGGCTGAGGTGTGATGTGTACAAACAAATCAAAATAAAGTAAAACTACATGTCAGTGTTGTGTTAAAGTAATTTTGGAGATATATATTCAAGAAAGAGAAGCACACCTGTTTGGGGAACAAAATATCAGAGTTGGAGCAAAAGCTTCTAAGCATGTCCAGATCTTGCAAATTCAAGTACGTCAGTTTTGGGAAAACGATGGTTTCAGAATCTTTTTCATCTTCTCCTCCTTTCTTNAGCAAAAGCAAGCGCGTCAGTTTTGGGAAAACGATGGTTTCAGAATCTTTTTCATCTTCTCCTCCTTTCTTTGCAACAATGTATTCCACTTTCTTACACCGAAATAGAATTAGTTGTTGGAGTTGCACCAAACATTTGACCATGGACTCTGGAAATAGACCCTTCATTGCAGGTAGGTTCTCTAGCCACAACATTTGCAGTTTTCCAAAGGCAAAGGTCTCCCCCGGAATATCCCTACAAATAAGATATTTGAGCTCATCACAATACCAAACACAGAGTTTCTCCCAGCTTACCGAATCATCTACATCAAGGGCATCGAAAATATTACTTCCCAAGCCTTTCAGATTTAGAAACGAGACATGTTTGGATCTCTTCAACAAAACTTTTATCCCAAAGTCATAAAGCATACCCAAGTCACAATCATTGAGACTCAAGCTGTTTTGTAACCCGTAGCCTTCCGACAGACGGAATAACAACAGATTGAATGACACCGGAGAGCCAATTGTTATGCGAAATCTTCTCAGGTTATCAAAGCAAAAGTGNTGAATGACACCGGATCACCAATTGTTATGCGAAATCTTCTCAGGTTATCAAAGCAAAAGTGTTTCAATTTTAGCACAGCAGTTACACTTGTGCAAATATCTAACGTGTTCAGATAAGACATTGAGTTCAACTCTGCAATGCTATCATTCATGTCATTTTCGCCTGCATACAACTCTTCAAGTTTATCCAGCTTGGACAAAATATTTGGCGAAATTCTTCCAGGGCGTCCCGCAAACCTCAAATCCAATATTTGTAGATGCTCAAGTTGTCCAATTTCACTCGGTAATTCCTCAATGTAAGATTTAAAAAAGCTGAGAACTCTCAAGCTCTTTAGGCTTCCAATCATGGAGGATGTGTTATTGTCCAGCCGGCAAAAATCCAAACACAATGTTCGAATATTTAGCAAAGATTTGAGTGGTGGTGGTGGTGGAAGCAGAAGGGGCATTGATCTGAAACCAACNTGTCGGGTAAGCTGAAGGCACATTGATCTTAAATCAACAACTTTGAGTTCTTTCATCCCTTCAAAAAAACCTATTGAGTCAACTCTGGTACAACTCTCATTAGTAGGGTCGTCTCGTGGATCACCCTTGCATTGCACTTGTAAGAGCTTGAGGTTCGGACAATCTAATCCAATAGGAAACTTGTCCAATTGGTCGAACATCAATGAGATGGCTGAGCAATGTCTGAATGTATCTTCTTGTGGCCACTCTTTCAATCCTGCATCACACCTTACCAAATATGCTTCCCTACCTTTAGATGCAATTGATATGCATACATCGCGTACAACATCATGTAATTTCACTTTCTCTCCATCACCGGGGAGTATCAAGAAACGACTTTTGAGTTGATCGTTTAATGAGTACACCGTGTCTCTTGCTTCTGCCACAGTATCAACTTTTTCAAACAAACATAGTCCTACCACATATCTAACCAAACACTCGAGAGGAATATCAGAATCTTCCGGAAATAAACTGTAAAGTCGAAGCAATGACTTGGCTTCTTCTCTGTTCAACAGATTGTAGCTCAACTCTATACTGGTGTGAACCTTTTGTGGCATTCTGTTACACCTCTGTAGTTCTCGAAGTGCATTATTCCACGAATGCTCCTTTTCACCTTTCAGTGCCTCGGCGAGAGTTACAATTGCAAGAGGTAAGCTTCCACATTCATTTGCAACCTCTTTTGCTATGGCCTGTGGCACAGGGATGTTATTGGTAATTCCCGCCTGCTTCTTAAAAAAATTCCATGCTTCGTCTTTAGGTAGGACTNGTGGCACAGGGATGTCATTGGTAATTCCCGCCTGCTTCTTAAAAAAATTTCATGCTTCGTCCTTAGGTAGGACTTGGACTACAATGATTTTTTGAAATTCCATCTCAATACAAACACGTTCGTTTCGAGAAGTCAATACAATTGTGCACCCTTTTTGGCCAGCTCCAAAACAAATTCCAAGTTTTTTCAAATCAAGTTTTTCCCAAACATCATCTAATATTACAAGAATTCTTTTCCCATTTGACAATCTCGTACAAAGTCTGTCTGCTCTTGCACGAAGGCTGGTTTCCTTCTCAAGGCTCAAACCCAACATGTTTGCTATGTCACTTTGAATCTTTATCAAATCTTGATTGTTGGACACAGCAGCCATAGTAACCTCATCAAATAACCTCTCAATCTGTGCTCTTTTGGCAACAGCTTCTACCATTGTGGTTTTACCCACTCCACCCATACCGCATATCCCAATCATTCTGATCTCACCATCCTTCAAAGCCTCCATAACTTCATTTGTCGTCGACATCCTGGATTCAAAGCCTTGGAAATCTTCTGTTGATACAGACGCCATTTGCATGGGTGGTGCAGGGTTAGTCAATTTAGTTAACTTGTCCACCTCTTGTTTGAGCTTATAGATATTCTGAGTCTTTTTCGTGGCTTTCCTACTCACCGAGTAACGAGATACCAGATTCGGGCACCATCCATTCCAACAACCCCTTTCAACTTTGGTTTTGAGTTTAAAAACTTCGTCTACCTCTTTCTCGACCTCTTCCA